CAGTCAGGACCCCGAGGGTGTGGAATGGGCTTCCACGAGAGGTCGTTGAGGCCCCATCGGTGCGGGTGTTCAAGGATAGGCTGGATGTCCACATGGTGGGCATGTCGTGAGTGGAGCCGGCTGGTGCCGGAGGTCAGACTAGATGGCCTGGGAGACCCCTTCTGACTCGTTCTGTTTCTATGTTTCTAATGTGGACCCTTTGTCTATTGCAGAAGATCCTGAGGCATGTGCTGGGAATAGAATACTAGCAATGCCTGTTGGATGTAGGTCTTCATAGAAATATACCAAAGCTAATTTGCAACAGTGTCTTTTGATGAAAATTAGTAATGACTGACTGTCTTTCAACAGCACAAACATCTAAGGAACAGCAACAGGTTTCTAGGAAAACAGGTGTTGCTGAACTTAAGCAAACCAGCATACAATATAATAAAACAGAGCAGTGACATGAAGCTACAAAGCACTGGAGGTAGCATTGCTGGCCATTCCAGAGCATGTGCTGGTATGACCAAATGTATGGATGATAATGCAGTGACAATAGCAACCTCGGCTAACCGTCCGTCCCCTATAAGGGCTGCAGAAGCTCTTTTAGTCTGAAGAACAAATTCCATTTTGGATCTGGCGGGGAGGAGCACATTCCAGAGGGTAGGGCTGATGTCAAAATACCAACATATTTTCCTTTAAAGCTCCTGCTGTATCAATTAAGCTTCAGAGGGAGCATTTTAACTGTTTAAAATAGTGGGGGAAACTACCTGAAAGCTGGGAAGCTACCACATAATAGGTAGTTGAGGGAAAGGAGGTGGGGCGTTGTGGGAACCCCCAAGGGCTGGGGTTGGCCCAGGGCCAATTGCTCTGCAGACCTATGTACTGTGCTCGATGACTGTGTGTTGGAGTGCTGGGGTTGACTAGAATAGTCATGGTGATGTGCATTAACCAAGAGCTACCCATGCAGCTTTAAAATATCATAGGAAGGGTGCAATCCTATGACCCACCCATGGCAGAGGTTTGCAAGCCTCCAGACTTGGCAGCTTC